CTGCAGCACGGTTTATGATGGTATCAAAATCAATACCAGGCATAATGATCGCTTGTGTTTCCGTCACCAAGCATCAAGGACCCAAGCATTTTTCAACTCGGTAGCCATCAGGTTGCCTCGTGTTTGGGACCAGCTCCCTAGATTGTTAACCGATGCTGCAGTTTTAGAAAGCACATCCTCTTTTCTTCGTAAGGTTTCTTTGTATTTTGATTCGCTATAATGTTTGATGTTTTAATGTGTTGCTGAATTTGGGGTTGGGTAAACCAGCTTTGCTACAGTGATTTGGTTCACTCTGGTTGTCCCTGGTCTCCCCAAATTTCAGCAATTTTTGTTGTTGTTGTTGTTGTAAATGACCAAATAAATAATGAAATGAAATTAATAGGATTAGCGACAGATTAAAATATTATCGCCTATACCTGGTAACATCAGTCAAAATAAACCCGAGAAAAACCAAACACTAGGTGCAATATATTTGAATCAAATCAATCAATTGATTAGTATAATAAATATTATTGCCTAAATTGTAACTATGAATAGCCCCGCCTACGCCAGTTCACATTATCAGTAAAAATAAACGTGGAAAAACCAAAAAAATAAACAAAACGTCACAGCGCGATGAAATCTCAATGTAAGTATTTGTAAATGCTATAGATATTGTAGATACATAGAGTATTCAGAAATATTTGAAGATCAACATATTAATGACTGTATATGTGTGTAAGTATAGTTTAGTTACAAGAGCAAACTGGAGTATTTTGACTTGAATTGAGATTCACAGATTGATTATTTGTCTTGAAACATGCACTATGGTACTGTGTATAGATAAATATGTCTAAGCGTGGCTCAACTACAGTAGGAGCATTGAAATGGAGGGACTGGGCGTGGGGGAGATTTTGCATTTACACGCAGGTCTCCATTGCCAACAAATTTCAGCAGTGACAATGCACACTACAGAGGGGGCTTCTTTTCAAAATAAATGCTGTAAATTTTGGAATTGCTACTAAACAACATTTTTTATAAAAACTTTTACTTGTAAATTTTAGTTACACTTTGGAATTGTTATAATTTTGTTTCAGGAATGAAGGAGTATAAAAATAATCAACAATGACATCAAGTGAAGGTAAACAAAATTTAAATTGTTGAACTATTTTTCTGCATTTTATTTTTTGACTGTCATGGAAAAGAGCGTACGCCTGTGACCTACTATAGCCAATTCATCTATGATTTTATCAACACACATTTTCTGCAAACTATATGAACAAAAAAAATGTTTTAGGATAATACAAAAGGCTTTTAGTTTCCTTTTGTTGGTACAGGTATTTATATTGTTTTTGATTTATATTTAAGAAGTTGCTGATACAAATTTTGCAGTGGCATAACTAGCCCTGGTTCAAGACCGTTGGGCCCTTGATGCTTAAATTAGCAATTACTACTCTTTTACTGAATTAATCCACACTAATTACCATCCCTCACTGGTAATCATCAACCAAGACTTGTAATAAAATACAGTAATTTTAATTTTCTTTGATCTATTTAATTAATTTTAAATATTTCTTTCTTGTCCCTATACCTTTCTACCTTTGTAATTTACTTGTCAATTGTAGTTCCGAACCCTCAGACCTGGACCATAGTGGGGCACTAGCCAGGAATGAGCCAAGGACGTACACAGTTGTGTCCCCGTAGTGCCGGGACATACCTAAATTCACATGTGGATGTAACTAGCCTCAAAAGTGCCAGTATTTTGGGTGTTAAGTGCAATCAAACCGGGTCTGGTCCTACCTAGCCTACACTAGGCCTAGGCATTCAGCAATTGCTACTTGGTAATTAAAAAATCACCTACTGGTAATGGCCTACCATCATGGTTTCATTTTTTATATATCACGGTATAAATTACATACAGCACTCTAATAAAATTTGAACCTCAAATCACACAATGAGGACCCAGGTGACGTGAGTGTGTTGTGTGAAAATTTGTGAACTGTGTACTGTATTTGACTCGACCTAGTTTGCGTCAAAAATACACCAGTGAACCAAGGCAAGGAAATTAATTGAATTATTTAATTTCTGTTTTGATACTAAATAAATTTTCTTTATTTATGATCAATCAATACACTCCTTTTTTCACACTTTTCCAAACTTCCATGGAGATCTGTCTAGTTATATGCATGCGTAGTGCTTCCATCAGGCAAGCTCATCTCTTTGGCCAGCTCATGCTTCTCCGATTCAGACATTCAAGTAGGCCTTATCATCCAATCATTTATTAGCGGGGCATTTTACCAGGACTACGAAATATTTGGCGGGACTTAGCCAGGGATGTATGTTAAAACAATGCCCTGCATTGCCAGAAGGCTGTCTCTTATACACATCTAGATGTGTATAAGATCAGTGGACTGTATAGTGTTGCTAAGGAACATGCAGAAGACAGCTGGAGTTTGATTATAAACTGAATGATAATTTTCCATATGATAATATTATACATTTTTTTAATATGTTGCAGAAGATGCCGACAAAGATTTTGAAAGTTTTAAGTTGGCTGTGTCAAAATGGTCTGACATGTACTGCAGTGTAAACATGTTGAAAGTTTTGTACAGAGACAAAATACAAGATACCACTGAATTATACAAATGTTGTAACACAATGAATATCATTCAGTTATTGATTGCTGCTGGATGTCTGACTTCAAAAAATCTCACTCTCTTCTATGACACTATTACGTTAACGAA